CAGAAGAAAAAGTACGCAGCCACAAAACATTTTGTTTTTTTAAAAGTGTGATTTCTTTCTAGTCGGTAAATATGAGACATTGTATATAAAAAGGTTTATTTTTTTCCACCTGCTTTCACCAGAAGATACATTTAAAGCCACTGACAGTATTTTATGCTAGATTTTGTTAAAGGATAAGTTCGCCTTTTATAAAAATTAAAGAAATGCATAATTAATAATGTATTTTTAAAAAATCTGCATTTCTTTAATATTTGCATTCAAGCCTGGAAAGCATTGCAATTGTGATCACTCGATCATAGCCGCAAAGCTCAGACTTCTGCACATTCTCTCCCAGACAGAGCTCTGTACTGAGATACAGAGTTTCAGTTAGGAGAGATGGGGGAAGGACAGCTCGACTTCAAACTAGATTAAATCACCTTATATGGTGTCCAGCCGCCCTCGCTCTCGCTAGAGCCGCCCATATTCCCACATCTACCTAGAGCGAGGACGGCTGGACTCCGTACGAGATTATTTAATGCAGTTTAAAGTTCAGCCGTCCTTCCCCCCATCTCTCCTAACTGAAACTCTGTAACTCAGTACAGAGCTCTGCCTGGGAGAGAATGTGCAGAACCTTGAGCTTTGCAGCTGTGATTGAGTGATCACAATGCTCTCCAGGAATAAAATGCAAATATTAACCCCTTCGTGACGGGAGACGTACACTGTACGTCCAGCCACAAAGGGACCAAATGACTCGTCACGTACACTGTACGTGACGAGTTATTTGCTGCACTAGAAGGCTGCTAACCGCTGAGAATCAGCGGTTACCTTTCAGTAATAGATGTCTAACTATCTAGAGATCCATTACTGAAAGGGTTAACCTTTTTCAGACACCCGATACCTTAATATCGGGTGTCTGAGAGTCACAGCAGAGCGGACACACATGCCGGCTTTTGCCGGCATTCTGACAGCTCGTATAGATCGAGAGATATCTCTCTCAAGCTATACTGGCTTTTTTTTTTTTTATCTTTTGACTTTCAAGAATAGATACAAAATGTTATGTATTAGACACATAATGTATCTATTCTTGAAAGTAGAATGTTTAAGTTTTCTGAAACATTCACTGACAGCTGAATCCTGAACTGCTGCAGGATCAGTGTCACTAACTTATTATCGGCTGTTCTGAAGTTTGAAGCAGCCTGATAATAAAAAAAATTGATTAATTTATCAAGCAGTAATAGTGAGATTAATTCACAATGACTGCCTGATATAATTAAATAAATAAAATTTGTCAGTATAAAAAAAGTGAAAAGTGTAAATAAATTAAAAAAAATAGTGAAAAGTGTAAAAAAATTAAAAATAAGGGACAAATAAATGAATGTATGTATTGCATTTTTTTTTAGCTGTGCTGGTTTTGTTAAAAAAAAATACTACAAATCAAAACTGGGAAAAAAAGTTTTTTTTTACGTTTTTTCCTCTTTTTTTAATTTGTATTTGTCCTAAGTGAGGCGTTAGACACACATATGTGATATAAATATATAGCCCTATCTGTCCTCTAAAAAACAATATATAATATGTGTGGGTGCACTTTGTAAGAAAGTATATTACTGACGTGGAAGAATCACACAGCAAAAATGTCAAAAGTGTGTCAGTCATTTACGAACAGAAACCAAAAACAAGCTCAGTCATGAAGGGGTTAAAGAAATGCAGATTTTTAAAAATATATTATTAATTATGCATTTCTTTCATTTTTACAATAGGTGAACTTATCCATTATACTCCCTTCTTCAAGAAAGTCTTCTGGCAGGTCTGGCACGGCTCTCTGCAGGGACATGATCGAGAAGTGAGCGAGCGACGGTATGTGTTCGCTCACTTCCCGATATATTGAACCGACGTGACAGTTTCATTGTCACACGTCGGCTCGAACTATGAGGTTGAGTGAAAATCACTCACCTCATAGTTCTCCCTTAAAAACTCCTACACAAGAGAAGCAAACTGTTTTTGTATTTCCTGTTTGCTAGATTTCCCGACACCCTGACTGTTAAAGTGCTGCCCACCCGTGAAAAATCGCTATATCAGTAACCCTATGAAAGATGAACTTTGGCGCTAGTGACATTCATTTACTTTTTGGGATTGACATTAACAATACTGTAAGCATTGCAGGGTCAAGATTGTTTTATGAACAGATCATGCCATGGGAAGCATGGCTAGATTCAAGGCTGCTGATAATAAAAGGCTGCGGTTCATCTAAAGTTTCCCTACAGCTTTCTGTGCTTAAAATGCACCTGTGCTCAGACTATGGACAATCAAGTACTTACATTTTCTAAAAGAACTCCAAAATAAGCCACCTCTGACGTCTCTAGCTGTATGTAACGTGCAGTAATTAATTCTCAAAGGTCACAACAGAGGCACTGGAGTCAGGTTTTTAGTCTAAGCAGCTTAGAGCACCTGCTGTTAGTTTAAATTAGAAGGCTTGCAGGCTACCAAGTCCTGGCTGCCAGAGAAAAAAAAAAAGGAGAGGAGGAGCTGTCATTCCAGTGCATCTTTTCTGAATTTTGAAGCTGTATTTTTTAGGGATGCACCGATACCATTTTTTCAATATCGAGTACGAGTACCGATATTACTCGCCGATACTGAATACTGAAAGTCCCATTAAGGAAGCCAGGCGGCGTGTAATGACTCGCCACCTGGCTTCCTAATTAGCTGGGAAGCCGAGCGACATGTATAGACGGTTTTTCGGTAATGATATTTTTTTTCAGACTCGCCAATACCAATACCAGAAGTTCCATTAAGGAAGTCGGGCGGAGTTTAGTGACTCACCACCCGGCTTCCTGATTAGCAGGGAAGCCGCCTCCATGCTCCCTTGTCACCACGTGACGAGGGAGCAAGGAGCCGGCTTCCTGGCCAATCAGGAAGCCGGGCAGCGTGTAATGACTCGCTGCCCGGCTTCCTGATACCAAAAGTTTGGGTATCAGGCTAGGCATCGGAGCATTTGGGCGAGTACAAGTACTCGTCCAAATACTCGGTATTGGCACCGTTACCAGTATCGGTATCGTTGCATCCCTAGTATTTTTATACAAAAATTAGTGATAACATGTTTTAAAGACTTTTACCGCTTTTGTGCTGCCACAGAAGCCTATTTATTATTCAATGTTTTGTTTAAATGGTATGTTCCTGTTACCCCCTATTGTTTTGAAACCAGTTAGTATAGTCCACAGTTAGAAACGCCCAGCCTCCCCTTCACCAGATTAGTTTAGTTATTACCCACATTGAGTAAAGAAGAAATTTAAGAGAGTCTGGAATGCTTTGTCATCACTTAAAAAAAAGAAAAAACACAGAACATATAATGTGTAACCTGCCAGCCTGGAATAAAATAAAGCAAATGTTGCGTTGATGCTTTGACACTGTCTGTAGCTCTTGTTGAGTCAGCAAGTTGTCATACTGTCTGCTAAGGCTGAGTCTCAGGAGGTACGTCTTTTGCATAAAGCGACATTTGAAAGAAAAAAGCTTGTTAAAAATATGTAAATATTTTTATGTTCATAGTCTGGCCACCAGAGTACTTTAGTAATATTTACATTACAAAGCAGTCGTTCTTTACATTATTTGAAAAGAAGGCTGAAACCTAAAAAAGATTTGTTGGAAACCATCAATGAAGTGCTACTCAAACCTGCACCCCCAACAAATCATGGTGTGCAAACATCCACACAGGTAGCTAGATCATATTGTTGGGGCAATAATTACTCAGCCTGGGTGTATGTGAGCCCATCTGATAATGTGCACTGCTGGTAAGACCAGTGCTGGGAAACACTGTCTACATCAATAAAATGATATCACTTCATACATTATATAATTACTCGCACCTCTGTGATTAATAAAATTATATTTTCTTGCTATAGATTCAGTATCAACAGCCATAAAATGTATTTATCTAATTCATAATGTTTTTAATAAATCACACACCTTCAGTGAAAGTGTCAGAAAATATATACAAAACTAAGGGGGTTATTCACAAAAGGGTGAAGAGTTTGGAGGAGGCAGTAGAAGTGAACAATCTAGGACAACATACCTGATTTGGAAAAATTCTCCAATTCAGCTCACTTTCCAGTTCAGCTATTTTGGCCTAGATTGTTCACTTCTCCCGCCTTCTCCGAACTCTTCACCCTTTTGTGAATAACCCCCTAAATGTACTACAGGTATCTTGATATTCCCCTCTCTCCCCTCTTAAAGGAGAATTATGGGGAGAGTACAAAACTCTCATCCTCATAACCGAAGTGTGACACTGAAGCTGTCACACGCCAGCTAGATAGCTCGAGAACTCAGCAAACACATACCGCCGATCGCTCAGTTCCCAATCGTCTCCCTGCAGAGAGTGGTGACTGACAGTCACTGCTCCCCGCTGGAATTCCCTTCTCCAACCTCCAGCACAGTTGGCTCTGGCTCTAGAGAGGCAGAGCCAGCGTCAATCAGGTGGCGGGGTGGATCCCGACAATATTGCAATAGCCCACTGTATGCTGAGTTTTGGGTCACAGGTGGACAGAGTAAATGTCCTTCTGTGACCCTCAAGAGAGAACTATGCCTAAAAAAGTTTGGGCCATAATCTTCTTCTAATCCACGTCAGTCAGTAGTAATCTAGTGTAGAGAGATGCAAACTTTAGGAAATAAAAGTAAGTTTGAGGATTTACCATGATTATATCTGGATATCACATTCCTAAAATCCATATTTCTCATCTAAATGGCAATTTATGGTGATCCTTTTTTGTTTTTGTTTGTGTAACAGGGTAACTTTTAATCAATTAATAAACAAATGGTATAATATTGTACATAAGTCATTTTTCCTGTTACTTGAAAAATACACAAAGGGGGTCAATTATAAATCATCCGCCCAGCCATATCCTGGCGAAACGCCGTTGGCACGGCATTCTCCTCAACACTTAATGGAGCCGGGGAGCATAGGAAACTAATCCCCATAATGAATAACGAAAAATAAGAGATTGACATGAAGGAAAGAGACAATAGTTACTCACAGGTTACGCAGACTAGCAGAGTCCTCACTGCAAGTTCACAAGCTAGCTTCCACCTTTTGGATACTCTTGATGTAACAAGGGGCAGGATGATTTCAGCAGGAACGTAGTACTGAATGGCGTAGGTTACAAAGATCCCAAAGGAATACAGAGCCTTCACTAGCTGGTAGACCCTACAAAAACAAAGTGCCCAATGTTAAAATGTTTAAGTTTTGTCTTCTGATCAATAGGTAAAACAAGGGGGGAATTTGCAGGAGCAGGAAGAGGCAGAGAAGACTTAGTGCCATGTGTGCAAAGAGTTGAGGCAAACTCACTGTCGGTTTGGTCGCCCTCTAAAGGTTAAAAGCAGCACTGCACCTGTTAAAAGCTGAACTCCAGTATAAGAGTCATGTGTATTTTTCCTGGAACCTTGATGAGCTTTGTGTATTTCATCCAGATCTGTGCAGTAATCCAGTGTAACTCTTGGAGCTTCCTGTAATAAAGACCACTCACTGCTCCTCTCTCTCTTTGTGCAGGGTGACTGGTCTTGTCTCCACCCCCTACTGTAGTTTTCTGCAGGCAGCTTGTAGGGGGTGGAGCCTGCTGGGGCCCTCCCACAGCTTTGATCTCAGCACAGGCTACATGCAGCACAGTGATGATGTCACTGCTACTTTTACAAAGTATTATCCGTGTTTGTAAATGCACACAATGGGGACTTTTTTATTTGTGGCTTTTTAGGAACATGTTGCTAACAGCATCAAGGATATCCCTGTCCCAACTAAAAAAAAAAAACTAATACAATTATGATACAGTACTTGTAGATCCATGCAGAGGTGTCACAGAAGGGTTTCCAAATAATAATAATAATAATGCTTGGATCACAAAATCATCCAAATAGCAAAAATACATTGACAACTAAATGCAGATGGCAACTGTGTGTAGGCAGCTAATTCTCTTGTGTACTGCTGATTGACTTGCTGGGTGATAAGACCTGTACACTGGACTATGCAGCTGATATTCAACATCACAATCTCAGCAAGATCTGAGGGCATGCACTTACGGTTTCAGCCATAACCAGCATGGCAAAACTAAGCCAGGTTGGGTCAGTTGTGGCACTGCGACTGGCCCCTTTTATAAAGGGATTTAATGGTGAAAAGCATCTGTACCAAAATGAAGGCAAATAAAAAGTTTGTTAAACTGAAACTGTAAAAGTAAACTATAAAAACAAAGAAGGGGGGGTGGAGTTAAAACAAATTAGTGATAATTAATTCATTAAATGCCAACTAATGCCTCATTCAGGTGGGTGAACAAGCATGGATAGTTTGCTGTGGCCAAAAAAGGCTAAACACTGCCTCTGTATTCACCTACACTCTGTGCTATGGCCACATACAATCTGGCCATATAGCTGCAGCCAGTTTGTGCGCGGCAAGAAATGCCTTTCCATCACTGGACGCACACTGTCTGTATCCAAGATCAATCAGAGACTCTATTCACATATAACTGCTCAGATAAGCAGTTACATGCAAACAGTGGAGACGCCAGACATTGACATGCACAGAGTACAAATCTGACAGCTGTTGCTGCTGGCCGTGGCTGTTCCCGCACACTGCGTGTATGCAGCGTGTAGCTCCTCCAGCAAGAATCACTGTGTGAATTACCCCTAAGGGTTAATAAAACACGCTGTGACTGGCTCATAAACAATCCAGTTCAGTTCTTTGATAATAGAGCGCTACAGTCTATACTAGTGCAACAGATTTTTCTGTCCCCTTGTCCTAGTTCATGTAGCTTCTTCAAAGGTTCATGCCAAGTGCTCTGCACCTTCATCATCATCTTCATCATTGCATTTAAGCTGCCTTCACTCCCTTGCTTCAAATTCTGTGATTTAGTTTTTTTTCCTTTTTTGTTCTTTTCATATGCTGTAAACATGTAAAACTTTGAATTTAAAAAATCTGATTAAAAAAATGCAACCGGCAGGGCTGAGCTGCATCACATCTCTGTCCTGCATAGTCCGAAAGACAGCCAGGGTGATGCTGAGGCAGAAGAAGGCCCCGCTCAGGGCCATCCCTATAGTGAGGCGCCCTGTGGCAATTGACTCAGGTGGCATCTTAATGGGTCACAGCACAGGTGTGCCTGCTGCCCTCTTTTTGACGTCAGTAAGCTGAGCATGACGCCAGGACAGACGTACCATGCAAACCCCCCAGTATGGTTTGCCGCCAACCTGTCCCTCCACCAAGTAACATGCATAACCAGCACACCCCCCCTCAGGCAGGGTGTGACAGATTGTACTGGCCATAAGGTGAGGTAATTGCTGGCTAACATGTTAGCAATAGGTTGAAACAGGCAGTCAGTTACAAAATTGGTTAACTCACCTAAACAAGGTGTGGACAGAAGGTTTTAAAAGGAGATGCAGCTAACAGGTCACTGGGAAGAGAGAGACTGTGAAACACAGACCTCCCAGGCTGCTGCACTAGAGGTATAGTGAGACCTGAGAAAATGTTATGTTTGTTTGGCAGGTGTTTGAAGGCTTAGCTTGGCACCTTCATTCAGTGAGGGTGAAACTGTTTTCTATGTGTAGGTAGATCTCTGACAGAGATAGGCTTTTTGTTTATGTATTTTTGTTACTAGCTGGCTTGAGAAGACTCAGTGCTGTTTGTGAAAAAGTTGTCACTTACTGTGTACAATAAACTTTCCTACTAAGCACTTTTGGACTCCAGCCTCTACAAGTTTATAGGCTTACTGACTGCATTGTGACACAGTGTTACCCAGGAGCAGGCACACACTGTTACACAGGAAAATTATAGGGGGGTCCCTGCCCCCACTTTAACTGTGCTCCTCTAGCACAGCACCCTAGAACAGAGCTTCTCCTGCCTCAGTCTGGACTTGGTAGTATTGATGAATTAGTTCATCTGTCATGATGCTAATAAAAGGCATACTTAGAAGTGTGGCCTTGTTGAGTTCTCCTCTTAGCAGTTAACATACTGTATCTATAGTGATACATTATGTAACAATAGATCACATTGGTTTGGATGGCTTCCTGTATCACGACTGCATTTACATGTAAAAATAATATTCAGACCACGTCAAGACCTTGATTGCTTGTAAATGTTATTTGTTGCCAGAAATTGCTGCAAAATCGTGGAGTAAGCACCGAGTAAGAATCTCGGAACGAAAATTTTTCCGAAAAACAAATTTTTCCGAAACGAATTGTACATGTCTACTGTAAATCACTTCTTAGTTTGCAAACCCAGAGAGGAGTCTTATCTCTAAGAGCAACAATTGACATACGTGATAGAAATGACAGCCTGCAGCTCCCTCATACATAAAGTCCAGCCGTATACAGTATAAATAGGTTGTTGCAAACAACAAGATCCCCCATGCATTATTGTGAGCTGTAGGTAACAAAGCCCCTCATGAATATAAATACCTGATTGCAGGGTTGATAAATATACATAAAGAATGCCAATCAAAGAGCTCCAACTGTGTGAAATCCACAAAATATAGATCTCAATAGCTCTATTGCACTTGCTGATCACAATCTTCACTGAGCATTGATATGTCAATCTGAACCTCTGGTTGTATATATTTTTCTAAGTATAAAACTCTCAGATAGTGCTAACTGGCTCATTATTGATCACAATCCTCGCTGTGTCGTGCAAGACATAAATCACAGAAAATCTTGGTGCATTGAAAGAGCACAGTTCATTATCAGAGTTAAATAAGTTATTCCTTGCTAATGATATTCACCATCCCTAAATGTCCAGGTGACTACTGTTACCAGAACTAAATATACAAGAAAATCCAAAAATGTTTGCGTTGTCACAAGAATCTTACTATGGGGACACCTGTTCCAGTTACAAAGGTCTATGAAGGGATTTCACGCTTTGGAGACATTACCTTAAACTTCCTGTTTTTCCCCATTCTGTAATCTATCCAGAATGGTGAAAAAAATGTTGGCCTTGGGTCTATTTTAAGGGCTCATGTAGATTGACATTGGTTTCCTTTGTAGGTCATCAGATTACCATTGACTTCAATAGTATAGTGAGGCTGCATTTGACCTGCTTGGGTTTCTTTGTATGAAGCAGATTCTATCGAAATTACTTTGTATTGCTGGCAAAGTAGGTAAAATGCAGTCCTTGAGCTCAAACACGTGCTTTTGGGCAAGGCTGCATAAGAAAGCAAAAGTAAGTGTGTGACAATAATACCATCTACAGTCTAAAGAAGAACTGCAGGTGCAACTTTGGAAAAAAGACATCTTTGCATTGAGGAGTTGGATCTACAATGACTAGGGTGAAGATTATGTGTTATGTGCATTTATATATGCATCAAGACATATGTATCAGGCAGTTTGTTTGTTTGTATCATTTAAAATGCTTGTATAGTGAGATGGTTGTGGATCAATAAAAGGTAATGCACTATGAGGCATACAGTTTGTGGGCACCTGACCATTACATCTACATAATATGGAAAAAAGTATGTGGAACCCATCAAACTGATTGATTTCAGATGTTCCAGTAAAGGTTACTCTTAAAAGTGACACTAAACTCAACAGTTAAATCTTAAAAATACATTCAAGTCCCTTAACTATTAACAAAAATGTATCTTGTTTGTGTATCACTCAGCTGTAGATCCTCCAATCATCTCTGAATTGGTGCTGACACTGTCCTTCCTTCTGGGGGGGGGGGGGGGGGGGGTACTTTTGTTCCCCATGGTCCCTGTGGGTGCTGTAAAGTAATCACCGCTCCAAGCTCACTCCTGTGATGGACTACAATCTCATGTTTAGTTTACTGATTTTTTTTTTTTTTTTAAGCATATCAAATTTTTATTGAAAGACATAAGAAGGAATCATTACACAAAGATCTTTTGTCAGTACAAAATCATGTGTCATATTTCAGTTCGCAGACTGAGATCCATACTTGTACCATTAAGTATATACACACTCTAAAGAAAGACAATAAAACCATGGAAAAAGTGCGATTTCAGACCAAGACCTTATGATGGACGTCCCATCGCTTGTGAACTGTATGTCCCTGTAGCCCCTAGGGTCGGTACTGTTGGGAGGAGGCCCGTTTGAGCCAGTGAGGGTAATCGTAGTTGTAATTGTAATTTTGGGCCTATGGAGGGGCATTATCTTCCTACTAGTTTACTGATTTGTAATGAGAGTGTAATCCATCCCGGGAGTAAGCTTGGAGCGGTGACTACTTTACAACACACACACAGGGACCATGGGGAACAAAAGTAGCCTCCGTCCAGAAGGAAGGACAGTGTCAGCATTAATTTAGGGATTATTTGAGGATCTACAGCCGAGTGATACACAAATAAGATAAATGTTTGTTAATAGTTAAGGGACTTGAATGCATTTTTAAGGTTTACCTCCTGAAATTAGTGTCACTTAAAAGGAGAAGTGTAGGGAGAATAAAATATACTCTCCCTGCAGCTTAGAGCCGGCATGGAACGTTGCAGCTGTTACATGCCAGATCTAAGACCAAGAGCTTTGCAATCATGTAACCGATGACTGCTCAGCTCTCAATCTCTTATCCCTGCATGGAGCAGTGGCTGTTAGTCCTGGCCCCCCTCAAGGGATTCTACCCTCTGTCTGTCCTGGAAGAGGGGTGAGCATGGTTGACTTTGGCTCTAGAGAGGCAGAGCCATATGTCACTTAGGCAACTGGGGTGGATCCCGAAAATAATGTCCAGATCTTCTCAAGGCCCATCCATGGCCAGATCTTTCCCACTATCTGTTGACTTCGGGTCATGAGTACATTTTAGACAATGGCATGCTTCCAACTTTGTGCTAACAGTTTGGAGAAGACCCTTTACTGTGCTTGCTTAACTGTTTGCCTGTACACAATGCCAGATCCATGAAGACATGGTTTGATGAGTTTGGTGTGGAAGAACTTGAGTGGAAATAGCAGAGCCTTGACCTCAACCCTAACTAACACCTTACCTCACAAATGTTCCTTTGGCTGAATGGGTACAAATTTCCACAGACACACTTCTTGCGGAAAGCCTTCCCTGCAGAGAGGAGGCTGTTATAGCCGTAAAGTGGACAGCAAAACCATATCAATGCCCACGGCTTTGGAACTGTATTTCCAAAAAAGTTCACATAGGCGTGATGTTCAGGTGTCCACAAACTGTTGGCCATACAGAGAATCTTTATATATTAGATAACATCTTTCCAACTAGGTAGCCATACTATTGTACTTCCTGTAGCATAAATGTTTAATGTATTATGTTTTTAATTAGCCCCTCTAGATGTATTCTGGCATATGCAGTAACGTAAAAAACCCAAGCTCCATTGCTTCTGGGGGCGCGGATGTCAGTGGGTCACAATTATTTCTATAAGACATAATGTTGGAATTAAAGGAAAGTATTTTTTTATACTTCCAATATATACTGTGTTCCCATTTCACTGTTAATTTTCAATGCTGGGATAATTACATACATTATCATTTTCATGAGAGTCCCATGAGAGCAATAAAACATTTAAAGACCTTTGATAAGATTAGATTTAATATAACGTGCAATTGGTTTTTCATTTCCTGGACACTGAATCTAACAAAATGTCTTGCTTGAAGCGGTTTAAATTGGACTTAAAATGAGCACAAAAGAACATGAGTTGTGCTGCTGACATATAGCTTACACTTAATGAAAAGTAAGGGCCACTTTGTTCCCAAACTACTGCGGCTGTATTAATTTTACCGAACACCAAAATATATATTTTCCAGGCACATTTTTGTGTAACCAACGTATGAAAAAATGAATTCTAAGGTTCAAATCGACACTAATGGTCTGGTTACAATTATGCAACTGCCTTCAATTTGCTACTGGCAAAACAAAACACTTTCCTTGCTATTTGTATCGGGTTCATTTAGTAAATTACATTCCACTTAAGAAAAAGCAGTTTGGAACAGATCTAGTGGCGGAGAGCTGTACATTTTTTCTTTTCAATATAGTGCTGTCTATGCTATATGAAGTGTGACTAGATGTGTTCATTTACATTTATTTCTCCATGTGGTCCCTGCCCCTTTTCTTGGCACATTAAAATTGCAAAACAAATGTAGAGCAACATTACAATTCTATTGGACAGATAAAGCTGTAATGAACATTTAAAAGATGGCTTTTATAGGCCGATCTCATTTTTCAGACATGTATTCAAATTATAGCGAAAATAGCTTTACTTCATTAAACCAGTGCAAGTGCAGCAATGAATTATGATGGCCATAAGCTGGGTAAATAACCGTACTAAAAAGGATTTCCTGCTAACAGTTAAATATATATATATATATATATAACTAAAATGTGTATTTGTGACTTTTTTATTTCCAAACAGTAGATTCTGGTGCTGGTACTGTATCTTTTGGTGCAAGAAGGGCTGGTCTTTAGAGCAAAAGATTCTGGTGCAGTAGAGGTGAGTATGTAACACATAGGGTTAGGTTTACATTAGACAGGTTAGGTTAGCATTAGGGTTACAGGTAGGGTTAGCATTAGGTTATATGGAGGGTTAGAGCAAGATCCAGTGTCGATGGGATTTTGTTTCCATTAAAACTCCTTCTCTCACATACATATCTATGATAATGCATAATCAGCTTGTGAACTGCAGGTCAAATGGACATAAATTCTGAATGATCCCAAAAGCGTCTCAAACTGATGTCAAAAGGACACTTAATTTGCTCATCAAAGCCCATCGACACTGGTGCTAGGGGTTACATGGTAGGTTGGTGTTAAGGTTACAGAGAGGCTATAGTTAGGGCTAAAGGGAGGGTTAGGGTTACAAGGACAATTAGTGTGAGAGTTACAGGGAGGGTTAGCATGAGGGCTAATATGACAAGATTGGGGCGAGGGTTCTTCTGGGTAGGGCATGGCTCTTGAAGATGAACACTACCAGCAGTAATCCCTAATGTATCACCATTTCATGGCTCAGCTTTCCAGAGCCCATTGTCTCTTCCAGTCTCATTAGACAAAGAATCAGCAGCAGGGAAATGACCCAAGCAACTGCACTTCCTTAGAGAATACGCCTAGGCAGGCATCTGCACTGGTAGGAGGCACTGCTCTCCTTAACTGCTTGTCTCATGAGATTTGGAGGGAGATTTGGTGAACTCACTACTGTGCTGCTTGCTGGAGAGGCAGCTGTACCAGAGGATCTGCACTGGATATTAATACTCGTATGGCATTGCTCTTTAATGCGAGTTGCCAAGTTTGTTTAAGATAGTTTCATCTGGAGCTTTGGGACACGCTCACACTAATTATCCCATCTTCTCTGTCTAATCTTTTTCTTCTCTGTAAAATATAAACGCCTTAATCTATATGCCGCATAGGCAATCAGAGGACATGTAGAAGATTTTGAGAAGCTGACAGTGCATGTTGTTTTTTCCACGGAACATTATGTGCTCAGAAAAGTTGCACAAGAATTTATCAAAGATAAGAAACATGAAGGTACTCACCAGGAATCTTGAGGAAGGTTTAGAGTGATGCTACCTTTGATTTTCTCTCCAAAGCTCAGGTACCCCACTGTGGCCAGAGAGATGTACAAAACTGTCACTATTGCCATCCCAATGTTCAAAGCTTTAGAAAACTCTTTCTTGTCCCTCATTTGGTTTTCCAGGGGAAGAACCTAAAATAAGAGACATCAAGGCAAGAAATACAACATTGTTCGGAGTTTTGTATTGCAGCTAAACTGATCTTTTATTTGTATTCGAAAGAAAGCAATTTTCAACCCACATGCACATGCTGCCATCATACAATAAAAAACATATAATGCAATGGAGTTGAAATTTTTTTATTAATTGTATCCATCTGTTATAAGTACTAAAAGAGTTAGCCCGCCCAAAAGTTATAAGTGCTGCTTGTTAGGAGGATTCCCCTTTTCACAAACAGCAGTGAACTCGCCCTGCCATAGTTCCTGACTTTGTTCTCACCCAGTAGAGATTCTGGCTGCTGCAGATACAGAACAAATATTCACATTCCTCCTCTTCCATTCACCTTTAGGATAACAAAAAATGTGCCAGTGCAGAATATGATCAATCTGGATAGTTATGTGAATAATTTACCGTACCTTTTAAGGGCCTTATGTTTCATTGTGTTACTAAGAAAGGCAGTTATACTACCTGACCTAAAGTTTGTGGACACCTGATCACGTCCATATAAGCTTGTTAGATATCCCGTTCCAAACCCATGGGCTTAATATGGAATGACCCGCTATCCCACCTACCCCTTTGCAGCTATAAAACCCTCCACTCTTTTAGGAAAGCTTTCCACAAGATTTTGGAGGGCGTGTGTGGGAATTACAGCCCATTCAATGAAAAAATGATTTGTACGGTCAGGTACTGCTGTTTGAAGAGAAGGGTTTGAGAGTGTTGATGACACATACTCATAGCCATGACCTGCTGTCATTATTTGGCATTGTTAAAGCTGCCGTCAATTACATGGTTATAAAACCTCTCGCAATAAATGTCTGTTCATTCTACTTCCACTTTATTTGTAAGAACAGCCTGATGGTCTATTATTACCAGAGAATGAACAGCAATCTATAGAACAGAATGACCATCTATCACATCATGATCTGCTCCAGAACAAAAAGCAGGCATGGTTATAGAGCCCTATTATAAGCGTACAATGAATTTGCAGGAAGTGGACCGTTTTAGGAATGATAAATGATGATAATAAGAACATATGAAGCTGCTGTTTTCTGAGGAAGATACTGCCTAGCTCCAAAGCTAAATCATTTCACAAGTAAAATATACATAATACGGGCCAAGGACCAACTTCAGGCAACAAAAGAAATCAAGCCACAAACTGTGCAACAATGCCAAAGAAAGTCCACTCAGTTTACAATACTTTTTACAATATGTTCCTGCAGGATGCCCTGTGCAGAGGAAACAACATTATATTGCATTCTTTTTCAGACTTTTGGAGGTGGTGGGCCAACATTGAGCCGTGTGATGTTAATTAATATTAATATTGATGGAATAGTAAAAGCAAAAGAGCAAAGAGTGAACATTTCTAGTGAATGAAGTAGAGTGTTGCTTGTTTTTGATGATAAACGGAGACAACTGGGGTCTACATATGACTGTAAGGAGACACTGCTGTGCTCATGGTAAAAGATACATAATTGATCACATATTTGGTTTATGAATATGAAGTGCTACAATTAAAAAAACATGTTCAGTAAGAGTGTATAGATGCACACGAACTGGCCCTGCATAATTTTAGAATGTTGTTTTTGAGTTCTTGGTACACTGAATAAAGTATATCAATTCAAACAAATGTAGATATCAGTGGTTCAGATCATTTGTGCAACTCCAATATGTCTTCATCAGTGACGAGCACTACCTTCCATGCTGGGTGAGGCATTCCCCGTGCCCGCCACAGCCCCACCCGCAGCCTGCTGAGCCCCGCCCCCCAACCCTGGGTCACCACGCTATGTGTGAAGGAGGGAGGGAGGAGGAAGGTAGGAGACAGGGAGGATCTTCCTTGTACCTCACTTGCTCGTCACTGGGGAGGCATTTTTTTTTTTATTAGACAGCTCTGACAATTGGCGCTTTGCCATTGGTCCAAACCATCCACAGAGCTCAAGCCTCTAACAGAGTAGAGGCTGTGGCAGCTCTTGCCTCACTATGTTAGGTTACACAAGCAGTGCAAGCAGTTACAAAAGCAGTTACAAAAGACAGATGCAGCGCCGCCTGTAATTAACAGAGCTCCGTCCATGACAGGTTACACAGTGGGGAGGCTTTCCCTGCTATGTAACCTGTAACAAGCCAAACTGAATGGAGAAAAAGCTGTCAGCTTCAGACTTGAAGCTGACAGCTTTTTCCTCCATAATACTAGTTGAGGTTCTGCCTCCCCTGACCGCACGTCCCTGGTCTTCACATCATATACTGTAATATATATTGTTCCTATAAGCACAAGATTGCCCTTTATCCCCAGTAAATTTTCAATGCTAGCTGTTTCCCCTTTACAGTAGAGATTTAAAAAATGAAAAACACTTTTTTGGGTTTTACATACCCTTTTAAAATGCTATATAAGCCTGCAAAAAAGGTTCTTGTTCTGAAATCTCCTATATTAGGGTGACAAAGGCCTAACCCTGTCTCCCAACTGAGCTCCTACCTTGTCACCATGTCACATAGGCTTCTGATGGACACAACTGCCTGTTTCAACACACAACTTTTATTGTTTAAAAATGACTAATTTCAAGATTAAGCTAGATAAGTCGGAAATATTGAATATTAACCTGCCATCCAGAGAGGTAGAATCTATGCGCCCAAGCTTCCCTTTTAAGTGGCAGGCTAAGAAACTGAAATATCTGGGGATCAATTTAACCCCTCATCAGCAGGACCTGTTTAATTATAATTATATTCCCCTCCTGAATGAAGTTCGGAAAGACCTGCAACAATAGACTTCATTATATCACTCATGGATTGGTAGAATTAATATAGTTAAAATGAACGTATTGCCGTATATTTTTATATCAGATGGTACCTACAGCTCTACCCAATACTACAGCTCTACCCAATACTTTTTTCAGAACAATAAAAACAATGATATCCAGATATGTCTGGGGTAGGAAGAATGCGAGAATCTCACACAGCACATTAGTTAAATCACAGACTTTTAGATTGGCACTTTTATAAAATATCAAAGTTTTGGGTAGGGAAAGAGTTTGAAATCTGTAAGGCTGATCTGAGTATAGTATGCTGGCTACCAAAGCAATATAGAGGCACTGCAAAGGATTTGTACCCACCAGTGTGGAGTACCCTAGCTGTATGTAATGCATAAGAAATTAGGATGGAATTACAACTCACCCTTAATGCCCATGTTAGGACATGAATATTTTCAGCCAGGGAACCTAGATCAAAATTTTGGTAAATGGATAGGGGAAGGTATATTACGATTGCATCATGTAATGGATCGAGGTGAGCTGAAACCTCTCCCGATTTTGTGCAGATCACCATCCCCTTCATTGATGGATAAGTGGCGATCCTGCCAACTAACGCATTTCATGCAAGCTTTATCTAAACCTATTAAATCGATGCTCGAACTAAACCCAATGGAAGTAATATTGTCCAGTCCATCACACCCAAAGAAAAGTATATCACTGATGGTCCATTTGGTAGCGCAACTGTACTCCACACAGACCCCAGGGTTTATGCGGCAATGGGAGGAGGACTTGGGGATTCCCCTATCAGTACTCAGCAAAATGTCTGATTAGACATTGATTAGACATGTCTGATCAATAAAAGAATGGCTCATAAAAATGTAATTATATTTGCTCTATGGAGGAATTGCTTTTTAGTAGCCAAAATAAATATCCAGCCTTTTATGAAATATGGCAGGGGTGGTTTAGATACAAGGAATCGGATGAATACTTATCAATAATGACCTCTCATATCCGAGTTTGAAAACAAAACATTATTCTCTTGAAAACGTTTTTCATTCTCTTATACGTTTAGGGTTAACTCCAATTAATGAGAAAAAGGAAGGGTTGGCCTAGGATGCCTAAGATTGTCTGTTTATATTTGTTTTTTGTTGTTTTTGAATTAAGGTGCTACAACCCACTCCTAGCCTTGATTAATTAACATTCTCTAAAGCAAGACCTAGAACTAATTTATGTAGGGAGAGCTGTAGTAGAGCACATTAGATTGGGGAATCATCACATAGACACTATTGAAGGTAGAATACCGACTTTATTTTATTTCATTGCACGTAACACATTGTCAAGTGAAGGGAGGGGAGAACAGAGGAAGGGAGGTGGGAAGGGTGGAGAAAGGAAGGGTTGTGCTGATTAGCAATGTCATTTTTGAACACTTTTAGGACACTTATTCATGTTTATTTATATAAGTGCGCATCTTAAGATGCATTTATGTATATAATATCTTATTTATTAATTATTAGTCTCATTCATTATTTATTATTGTGTGAGGATATACACCATTACAGTATAGAGAAATGTAAACACTAAAGTAATTAAACCAAAAGGTAATCATTACTGTCACTATCACAGATAATTATAAATAGAAACACTCACGTTAAGGGATGAAATAGGTGGGCATGGCTCTGTGTATATATGAACTGGTTTATTAATAATTGGTAAAATATAGAAGGCCAGAGGGGATTATAGTAATACATTGTTTGGCTTTATTGATTTTTTTGTTGTATGTTTGTCAATTATGTAATATGTGAAATTTATTGTGTGTTGTTTGAAAATTAATACATATTTATAAAGGAAAAAACCCATGTAGGATACACAGTGCTTTAGCAAACTAAACATCATTCAGTTGGAGTCCACTTCTACTTTAAAAAAAAAACAATATGCAAAAAAACCCATGGCCTCCAATGTAAAAAAAGAAGTCTTCCATACAAAGTGTGACAGCAATTCCACAGCCAATTGATGTATAGTATTCCAAGCCCGTCTATGGCGTGCCCCAGTAAAGTAACTGAGAAAACTGTCAAGTAAAATCATACACATTTTAAGTGTGAAGAAAACATAAATTTTTTAGATACTTGTAGGATCCTACCATAATTTGGAAAGCAGTGGTATATGAAAGAAAGGATCCCCGGTATCTATGTTAATACTCTTTTTCTGCTGTTGTGGCTCTGTACAGGATCAGGAAGTTA